TTTAACACCAGGAAGTAGTTATAGGCCCAGTTTAACACCAGGAAGTAGTTATAGGCCCAGTTTAACACCAGGAAGTAGTTATAGGCCCAGTTTAACACCAGGAAGTAGTTTCAGGCCCAGTTTAACACCAGGAAGTAGTTTCAGGCCCAGTTTAACACCAGGAAGTAGTTTCAGGCCCAGTGTAACACAAAGCCCAGTTTGCCGATTTTTCTTCTTCCAATTTTTCATGAGAATCATGAGACTTTTCTACTGTTTATCTGGTTGTAATTCAAAGGTTTGAAACCTTGAGTCTGGATAGCTAGGCCTGTGTGTTCCCGTAGAGATACTCCCAAAGGTCAGATTATGTTTCAAGTAGATCTTTTTGTGTTTTGTTTTCTTTTTTGCCAGTCCTGGTGCTTGAAGTCTGGGCCTGGGCGCTGTCCCTGAGCTTCTTTTGGTCAAGGCTAGCACTCTACCACTTGAGCCACAGTGCCACTTGCGGCTTTTTCTGTGGATGTGGTACTGAGGAATCAAACCCAGGGCTTCATGCATGCTAGGCGAGCTCTCTACCACTGAGCCACATTCCCAGCCCTCAAGTAGATCTTTTTAGGGAACATTTTATCCATGTCTCTGAGTGTGGACATCACAGCAATCTTGTTGCACTATTCCAAGAGCAACACGGCATTCATTACAAACAGCGCCCCCTAGAGTTCTGCAGGGCTTACACAACTAGCATTTATATTTCCTTCAACTCTGGGTTGAGTTCCATTACACAGTTCGCTAGGTTACTAGTATGCATCCAATCAATATGCACTGGTTACTAGATTCCAGTTAAAAATGTGCAAGAAAGCAGAGACTCATCAGCGGGAGACACACGTATATTTCTTCTTCTTTTTTTTTTTTTGGGCCGGTCATGGGGCCTGAGCTCTGGACCTGGGCGCTGTCCCTCAGCTCTTCAGCTCCAGGCTAGTGCTCTAATACATGTATATTTCCACACACATTTTAGAGTCTTTTCAGGAGCTCCCTTACCTTTCTTCCAAAAGCGCTTTAGAAACCAGAGGAGAAATGAAGTCACTGCCAGGAAGGAGGTGCCCGCGATGGAAAGTCCAGCTGCCAAGGCAAGACTGGCCTCTGCGGGCACTGCAGGAACAAGAGGGAGGATCGTCAGGATAGGCCAAGGGCTTGACGGCCTCTCAGGCCGGCCATGGGTCTGTAGGTTGATTTCTAGGAAATCAACAGACTCTTCGAGGTCTGTTACGTCTGTCCCGAGCAGCCCAGGGGCTGAGCCCTGCCAACACTTCCACCGACCACACCAACTTGCCACCAAGCTTTTCCACAGTGCCACAACGTGTCTGGGTTACTGCCGCCCTCTTCTCATTTTCTCTCTCTCTCTCACCCAGCGTCTCCCATTTTCCATTTCTTATTCGTCTTCCTCCATCTCCCTTTCCCGTGCTGGCTTTCTCCCTCCGGCTGAATACCAGCACCTGTCCACGTCCGTTCTGCTGTGCACGGACCGGGTAGTGACTACTCGGCACGGCGGCACACTCCTCCCTAGCCCAGGGACAATCCCAGCCCCTCCATCAGTGATCACCTTCGCAGGTGGGCAGCGGCCCCGACCAGGATCCCGAGGCGCCGCAGGTGAGGGCTGCAGAGCCGTTGAGAGCCCACCCCTCGGGGCACGCGAACCTGCACACGGCGCCGGCCACGGGCGCCCCGCTGCAGCTCACGTTCATTGTCCCCGGAGCCTCGAGGCCTGCACACCGGACCGCTGCAAAGGAGACACGCAGGGCAGAGCTCAGAGGAGCCGCTGCAAACCTCACCACGGCCTCACGAGCCATCGCCAGCCCTGCCACTGCTGAGGGCCGCTGGCCTGGCCGTGTCAGAAGCTGGGGTGAGGCTCCTGACAACCAGCCCGCCAGGAATCCCACCTGCCCCAAGGAGTTACGCTGGGTTCTACCTTGGCAGGAGGGCACGGCCTGGGACCACCGGCCCTGAGCTGTGCACGCAAGCTCGGCTGCCCCCAGGATCCTGAAGCCTTCCTTGCAGCGGAAGACACAAGAGGACTTGGGGGTGAACTCTCCCGCAGGGGCGTGCGCACACTTCACGGAGCCATTCTGGGGCTGAGGGACAGCGTCACACGTCACAGCTGGAAGACCGGGGAGGTGTCCGTGTTAGGCTGGGCTGCAGCAAGCGTGTGGGCATGCCCCTGCTCAGGAACCAGGCTTGCCGCGCTCAGTGGTGGGGGGACGTTCACCACCGTCCCCAGTGGAGGAGCAGCGTGTCTACCTTTGCACACGGGCGGCTCGCGGTCCCAGCGTCCAGACGAGGTGCACATGAGGGTCTCCGCGCCCCTGACCTCGAACCCCTCCTCGCAGCCAAAGGAGCAGGTGGCGTTCCACGGGAAGCTGCCAGGGCCGCGGGAGCAGGTGCTGAGCCCGTTGGCAGGGCTGGGGGGGGCACGGCACTCCACCGCTGCGGGGAGAGGCCGGGAGCTTTACAGAAGCTTGTTGCAGACAGAGCCAGACAGCCACCCACGAGAGCCAACCCCAGACAGAGCCAGACAGCCACCCACGAGAGCCAACCCCAGACAGAGCCAGACGGCCACCGGCGAGAGCCCCCAGACAGAGCCAGACAGCCACCGACGAGAGCGGATCCCAGACAGAGCAAGACAGCCACCCACGAGAGCCCCCAGACAGAGCCAGACAGCCACCGACGAGAGCGGATCCCAGACAGAGCAAGACAGCCACCCACGAGAGCCCCCAGACAGAGCCAGACAGAGTGGACCCCAGACAGAGCCAGACAGCCACCGACGAGGAGCAGACCCCAGACAGAGCCAGACAGCCACTGACAAGAGCAGACCCCAGACAGAGCCAGACAGCCACTGACAAGAGCGGACCCCAGACAGAGCCAGACAGCCACTGACAAGAGCGGACCCCAGACAGAGCCAGACAGCCACTGACGAGAGCCCCCAGACAGAGCCAGACAGCCACCCACGAGAGCCCCCAGACAGAGCCAGACGGCCACCGGCGAGAGCCCCCAGACAGAGCCAGACAGCCACCCACGAGAGCGGACCCCAGACAGAGCCAGACAGCCACCGACGAGAGCGGATCCCAGACAGAGCA